AAATACCCGAAAATTTCTGAAACCGAATAAAACAAAACCTAACTGACCCGCACCCACCTCCATCTTTCACATTCACATTGAAATCAAACAATTCCATCAAATCTTTAAATCATTTTCACCTAAATGAGGAATAGAGAATGTGAAGTAGAAAATCAATGAATTTTATGAAAACCCAATTCAGAAACTCGATTAAATTTTTGCCACGCCTCTTTAAACAAACTCGCGAATCCACAAAGACCATCGAAAATTACTTGAATATGGTTGGAGCACTTCAATTCTCAAAACTTCGATAGACATAGAATTTAGTAAGCAATAAAAAAACACCGTTAGAGTAAATATCATAGAAATTTATTACTTTGAATACAATTTGTACAATCTTTGAAATGGTGTACATGGGAATTACACAGGAGAATACTATCATGATGTTATATGTAATGGGAATGGATATATCGATTATTTTATAATTTTGAAATTATATTAAGGATGTATTTAGAGTAGGATGAATATATAAACTTTGTGTGGATCTGTAACATTTAACTAAATAAATTTAATAATGACAATATTGTAATTTGACAAAGAAGAAAATAGTAATTTGAATGTAAATAGCGGTTCCCTTTACTAATTCATCTTTATCCATTTATAAGTGAACTCATTGAAAGTCTACAGTAGAAAAGTTAATTGAGTCAGTGGTTATTGGTTATGTAAATGATCATTAAAGTCATTATCTTATGATAATAGTTGTTACACCCATATATTATGTGGCATCGACTGTGGATATTTTTAAGTCTAAGCTTGAGTCCGACCCATTAGGCCCACATGTCCATTTACTTTTCCTATATATCTGTGATTCATTTCATAATTAGATGAGGTTCTCGAACCCTATTCTGTTGGTCCATTTTTTGGGGCCAACAGATTGGCGCCGTCCGTGGGAAACGGTGCGTTAACCATGTTTTACCACGTACCAAAAGGCCACCGAAAAACCATATTTTCTGGGCGGTTATCTACTGGAAAACAGGGGCAAAGACAGCAAACCAAGAAATAAGGGAAAAGGCTATTGGGAAGCAGATCAAAAATTTGCTAAGGCAAATGACCTATAACTGGATGAACGAAGTTTTCTGTAGCATCTTCTAGCTTGATCAAGATCACACACAAAAAAAAAAAAAGAATCCACCCATATCCCTTCTTTTCATGATTACAATTCAAAAATAAGGGGATAAAGTTTATAATTCAAAAATCAGGTGGCAAATACGATTATTAATTAATATTATAAAATTAAAAATTAATTTATATACACCCCACCCCACCCCACTCCACTCCACCCAACCCCTAAATCACCCCCTTTCAGCGCTTCAGCTCATTCTCCTCATTCTCTTCTCTCTTTGACACACACCGTTACCGGAGCAACGTACTGCAGCGAAGCAGCATTGGCGCGATGCCCATCTGCAGTGGCGTCCCATCTTCTCCGCCTACTATCCATCTCTGCCAGCGACGTCGCTGTGCTCATCACCGCACGGTGCAGATCCGCCATTTTTTGACAGTGCTTCCATCGCTCATTCCACAGAGTTCAAATTTTGGTTTGACCTTTGGTTGAAGGGGCAAGAGAAATTGAATGTACTGAATTTCTGTTTTTTTAGGTTTGGTTTGGCACACTATAGATCTGATGATTGTGTTATGTAATTCTATATAGGCTTTACACGATGATATGCTGTTTAAATGTTATGATCTGTTATTGCCCAAACTTGCCTCATCTGTAGAGATGTTAATGATCTCTTTACTATATAAATAAATGAATTTTCTAACTTGCCCTTTCCCTTCTGGTAATTTATTTTGTTAACTCCATTTATAGATAGACGATTGAGTATTACTATTTTCAAGGAAAATGATGTTGACATGAAATTGCACATTTATTAAAACATATTATAATTTGACAATGGGGACTTTGGAGATGTATTGATGCAACTTATTATGTTGCAACATATGATGTGATATTGTGAGAGGCTCTTGTACATCTAATTAAAATGTGGTGAAGGATTTATCAGGAAATTTGTTGATTGCCACGGATCAGTTTCGCGTTGGGATTGATTAGTTGAATTAAATGCTTAAAAATTAGTTAGGTTTCTTTCAGGTGTCTAAATTAAGTCAATTAAGCAAGCTTGTATGGGATAATAACAATGCCAGTGAAAGTGTGGCGGCAGATCGATTACATACCATGTTCCTTGCAATGGCAGATGCAAGGGCCGTTCTGATAAAACTGGCTGATCGATTGCATAACATGATTACTTCTGCTGTAGAAAAACTAGAGCAAGCTTTGAAGGATGAGGCCATTTCTTATCACTGCTTGTCAGGGAGACACAAGAGCTTTTAGCCATCTGGGCTTCACTTGAAGGTAGAACTGTGGCGGCGGGGGTTGTGTTTGTGTTTGGCTAGTTGTGTGTTTGAGTTTGGGTTTGATCTATAAATGGAATGGTGAGGGTGTTAGTAGTGGAGGAGTGGCTGACGGCTTGTCCAATTGTTAGAGTTTTAGTAGTAGTTAGAGTTATGGGAATTGTGTTGGTGGTAAGGTTAGTTGCTTTCTCAATT